AGACTAAGTAGCTATTCAGTAAATAGCCAGATACTGGCAGGTTTTAGATTGTTGTTCATATAAAGCAGGCAATTCACTTTTTCATTTCTCTACAATTCTGTTTCCTTTATGCTACTGGACTTTGCCTCAACATGTTTTGTCCTCCATATCAAGTGCAATCCTTCAAGTTGGCGAGATATGTTTCAGTAACTGGTTTTACTACGGACCACAAGATGTTTGCACAAGCAGTACACCAAAACTGCAGGGATGTGAGCAAATGCTCATTTGAAGGGCCAGTGCTTGAACTAGTAACAGGGTTGGCTGAGGTGGGCTTCATTTAGCTAGCACACTAATCCCAGCAGTGTCCACAGTAGTGTCTTTAGCACTGTGAGGCTGGAGCAGGACTCACTGACTTCTAGCAAGCTGAGGGGATGCAGCTCAAAGCACAAGCAACCCAATTGCAGAGCTATCTACTATTGCACACCCATGATTTGAAAAAGCTGATGTTTGTGTGTGAGAGAGTGCTCGTACACAGGGTTGTCTGTCCAGAATGGGGGGTGGGGAACACACAGTGAGAGTCTGTGTTTATGGTCAGGGCCAGTTTAAGCTTGCCTCCCACAAATAAAGCTTTAAAAAATTTTGCATCACATGGCTTAAGATAAAAAATGGTTTTCTCTATTTGAGAATATTAATGCTCAGGCATAGCTTTTGTGCTGAAATAGTAATTATGGGCCTCCAGTGTTGATTAAATTGTTATGAGAGCTGTGCCCAGATCCTTGCTTATGTGGCCATAAACAACTTAGTGCTTGCTGTGCCAGTACTTTTAACAGAGTGTTTTTAATCATATGCTTCCCGGGATTGGACTAATTTGGCAAAGCGAGATCTTTACTTGCCTAGCTGGTTATTGCCCTGTCTTGTACTCTTTGGCTACAAAAAAACTCTTCTATACAGTGTTTGCATAACTGGAGGGGGTGTGGGGGAGTTATTTTTTATGAATGCTTGATTCTGTCTGTCTCTCTATTCCTGCTTGTACTAATTGGTTTTGTCCATAAGGTTAGCAAACTAGAATTTTTTTTAGTCTGAAATAATTTGCCAACCAAAAAAGTTACATTGTTCAGGCAAATTTTTCTGGTTGTCCGGTAGTCCATGTGTTTTCTCCTTCATTCAAATCATGACCAAGTGCCTTGTCATAACCACCCAAAGCCTTACCTGTTGTCTTGTCAACTTTAAGTCTTCCAGTTCTTTGTATTGATGAGTTTTAAAACAAGATTTAAATGCCATGTAAAAGGAAAAATTCACCTTTTTGCTAGATTAAAATTTAATAGACAACTTCTTGCCTTCATTAACTGAATATCAGTGAACTGGCAATTAGGTGAGATTTTTTTAGACTACATTTACCTTAAAGATACAAGGTCAAAGGATATTTTTTAGATTTTTGTTTGTTTGTTTGGTGGTGGTGGTGCTACTGCTGGTGGTGGTGTTTTCCCAAAATTTTCTGCTCTGATGAAGATTTTTCATTATCATGTGCTTCTGAGAGTATTTCTTTATATGCTGGGTCCCAAATGTCGTTCAGCAGATGCTTGAAGTTGAAAATACTGAACAAGATCAGCTCTATTTTAGTTCTTTGAGTGGTAGTGGCAAGCTTGGTGTAACATGAATCTCTACCCAAAACAATGATTCTAAGGAACTGCACACACTATTTAGGAGAAAAGCAAGCTTCTGTGGTCAAAACAGCCTCAGAGCTTATTGTTTTTTGAGGCTTCTGCTTGAATTTTTGAGGGCAGATCTGAGGTTTGACTTTCTAGCTGAATGGGAAGACCTCAATGCTGATACAAATTCTGGGGATATTTTGGGTTGGGGAAAAAATGATTTTTGTGTGTAGGTAGCCAAGCCTGTGCTACTTGCATAGGATGAGAGATTCAGGTTTTAGAGTGACAGATCAGTGTGACTTTGTTTGCTGGACCAAGGTTTCAAGTTTACACTTTGAGGAGGTGTCCTGGGATTTGAGGGAGCAAGCTTAGAGTTCTCTTGACAAAGGTTCAGTGTCAGTTTACTGCACCTTTCACACCTGCTAAAGTACTTGGCACCAGCTCAATGAAGATTTTATTAGTAAAATTGAATTGGAAACGTTTTCAGCCATTGCAAACCATCTTTTCAGTATGTTCTTTGTTGTCCCCCCCCCCCCCCAGCTCCCTATACACATTTGTGTATGCATACTTATTCCCAGGTGAGAAAATGGTGCAGATGAATGCTGCTTCTGCTCAAAGGGTGGGGACATACCTGGAACGGACCCTGAGTAATGCCTCCAAAGAGCAACAGTAACAACACACACCTTTCTGCTTCTGCACAGAGCACAGTCCTGTTCTTTAACTCTGGGACAGCTAAAGGCAATAGGAATGGAGAGATATGTCTGTGAGCATGTGTCTGCGTACGTGTGTGCTCTTGTACCCTCAGGTGACAAACCTCAAGCAAATTCCCAGTTTAGCTTGTGTCTTACTCTGAGCTCCCCAAGCCTTTCCATGTATATCACTTTTGTTCCAGCTTCATCTCCCTTCACAATCTGTCTGTCATGACTCACACACTCTCTGGCTTTGATTTAAACTCCATCTGCTTTCTCAGCCAGTCAGATCCCAGAGCTTTGGTATCACACTGTAGGAAAAGTGTGGAACTGGAGTAGAAGAGAGGAGGGGGAGGTCTATTGACTCCAGCCTCAAAGCTGCTCCTTGTCTCATCTGTCTTAATGCAAGTGTTTGGCTACGCTGCCAAATGTAAGTCTGTACTATCATTACTAATAAGGCTGGGGCTGACTTGGAGAAACTTGTCCTTTCTGAGGGTGTGAGGACCCTCAGATCAGGTTTGGTCTCAGAGTGTTGCCACTTACCACACACCTATGGGGTTTTTTTTTTAAAAGGAATGTCCTTTCTCCCCTGCTTATATAAAGGACTAACACAGCTTCCTGAGAAAAAATAGCGGTTCTTTTGCCTCTTCTCTGCAGCCAGGGGAAGGCAACACAAAGGTAGCAGGGAGGCTGTGTGCTGATGCCTGGCAGCCAGAAATACGCCACAACCCTCTGGTGGAGGCAAGCCGCTGGTATGCTCAAAAGACTTGCCTTCCAATCACCACTGTCTTCTCACAAGGATGGGGTGATCCTTGGAGGAGTGAAGATCACTTTTGCAATTAGTTTATAGAGGGGGATCAAAGCCAATACAGAGCTGATGGGCTCTGAATTCCAGACCACAAAAATAAATGTCTTCCTCTTCAAAGAGACTAGCAGGGGAGATTTCCCTCTACTGTAAGCTTGTCACAGACTCCCCCACCGATGAGCATCATCAGAGAGGAATTGCTGCATGGTTAATCCTCGGAATTAAAGCCAGGAGGGAATTTTCCTAGGGAGACTGAGTTAGAGATAACCATAATTTTGACTTGCTCCTGAGACAGCTTAAGGAAAACCACCTGTTAAGGTGAAACTGGTCACTCTACTACTTTACTAATATCAGGAGAGGGGATGTGGCCCAACGTCTGGGAAAATACCCCCAACAACATACTCTTAGAGCCTAGACTTCTTCTCTGGTGCTGATAAGTGGAAACACATGCAATAGGCTGCCTGGAACTGCATCTAAGTGCTATGACACACTAAAAATACCATAGAAAGAAATGTAGAATGTTAGAGGAAAGCTGCAGAATACACAGAATTTGATTTTGCCTGTTTACTGAGAAAACCTCACAGGAACAGTCAGTTAAACACAGCAGCATCTTATCTCTGGATTATAAGATTTTGCATGTGTGACACAAACTGACAAGATATCTTTTTGCAAGATGCAGATCAATATCTGCTCCAGATTTAGAACTGGAATAGAGAGGTATGCTGCAGATAAGGGTTGAGGTCTCTGCTGTTAGTCACGATGGAGACAAGCTGGCAAAAGTGAGAGCTGGAATTCTCAGGTCTGAGGTATGCAGAAATATGTGGAAAGCAGGCAGGGCAGAATTACCAGGAAAGAGAGCAGGAGTTTTCAGAGAGAAAGCTGTTTTTGAAGTGTAGAAAATGTGGCTTCCCTCTCCTGTATTTCTTGGCAGCCTGCTAACACTCCACGTTTGTTTTTTTTAGTTCTTATATTTTAAGGCCATAACTTTGTAAAAATTGTGAACAGTGATTCAGAGAGACAAACACAAGTACTTGAAATATAGGTGCATACATGCTGTTTTACTCCTCTTCTTCCAACATCGAGGATGCCCCCACTTATGATTCTCCTGTTCTATTTTAAAAATCCAGAAATGATGGGAAGACAAAGAGGCTTTCCTCCCTTCCAGTGCTTTTCTTAGAGCCCTGGCTGAATCCAAAACAGGAAACACAGACCAAATATTTTCCTTCCACCTTTTCTTAGGGCATGGCTCAGCTAAAGAACTGAGGAGAAGCTCCTAACTGCACCCCCATCCAGGAAAATCCCAGAGTAAAAATTGAGAAAGAGGAAAAGTGTTTTACATGGGAATGTTTTGGTGGGGATGCAAGATAAGAGCCAGTGAAAAGGAGATGCAGCAACATGGACAGGATTGCAGTCAGAAGCAGCAATATGCTTCTAGGCTGGAGGTGTGGCTGTATTTACACTGGTGCATGCAGGCCACGTGTGACTGGAAGGATGATACCAATGGAGAATGAGAAGAGCAGCTCCTTCTCCACTTCCCATGTGTCAGCTTGACCCAGAGCATCCTGATTGTGTCCAGCAGTGTTCATGTCCTGTTACAATGTTATGTAGACATGGCAGAAGCCTAAGCATTATGAGTGTGCCCTTCGCCACCCTGCAGTCCACATCGGACTCCTGCACATACCCATATAGTCCAACAACCTAACAGTCTTTGCACAGAAAGAAAGCAGCAGAAGAAAGGGTCAATCTGATGCCCCTTCTCCCAGCTGAATCAATCCTCTGTGGGGATTACAACAACATCCAAAAGCTTCGTTTTGAAGAGCAAACACAAGAAGACTGGCTCATCTGAAGAGTGTGATGGACCAGTCCCCTTCACATCAGCTATAAGGGGACATCCTCATCGTCATCCTCGTCCAGGTCAGAGGAGTGTAGGCTTATGTCCTTGAGGATGTCTGAGATGTTTTCAGCAACTGGACATGTCAGTTCCATCTCTTCCAACTCAGTATCAGTGGCATAAGTGGAGCATAGGACTTCCTCCTCTTCATGCAAGTGTGAGGGCTGGGGGGAGCGTGAGCAGGGAGGCAGTGGGCTCTCTGAGCCCAAGCGCGCTGCTTGCTGTGCTTCCACCATGCAGTTGTCCTGTCGGCTCCACACCTGAGTGGCCTGACTGACCTTCTCACTGCTGATTGAAGTCCGGTTGGTATCACGGAAACTGGCAAGGGGTGGGCGGAGGCGAACCCCAGAGCGCGTGGAGCCCTCTATTGCCTTCTGGAGCTACGACAAGAAAAAGTTCAGAAAAAAATGGATGAAAGGCAGGCTGACTCAGCCCTACCCAGCAGAAGTTCATCTAGTCTCCAGGGTAAAATGATCACAAATAGAGAGAGTCACAGCTCTACCTGTGGGGCCTGTGGAGATCATCTTTTATACTGCTGTTGTAATTTCTCATTCCACGGTAAATAACAAATTCCACATCACTTTCAGAGACAGTAATAGCCACTCAGTTAAGAGCCCTACGTTTATGAAAAAGACAAACCATCTAACATCCCTATAAACAACACCTGCTGCCTCCTCTGAAATACAGTCATCCATTCCTCTACATGGCTTCCAAAGGATTGACTCAGAATTCAACTCTAGATTTAAAATGTAGCAATCACAGTTATTCCCAGCCAGATCCTCCAGCACCTGTAAGTTATTGCAATGGCCCATTTGCAGTTGATTAGGAGGTCATGAAAGGATCTGTACCTACCTCTTCCAAAGCCAACACTCCCCTCAGCTTCCCCATACTGGTCACATAGGCATGGCTGAGGCCCAGCAATGAGAACAATGTATGCGTCTGTGAGTAAAAACACAAAAGACCATTTCAGGGACTTTGGAAACTGGTAACATGATACTTGGTGCTAGAGCTGGGACTTGGAATTTAGAAATAGGAATCACAAAGGCACACAAGTTTGCAGGCATCCCAGTGAGAAACAACCTCTTCCCCTTTTGTAGCTAGTAAATACTACCCTTTGGTCCTTCTGCTGTGCAGCCACAGGTGGGAGTGTGTTCATGGTGGAGTGTACATTCTCAAGGTCACTCCCACCCTCCATCTGTCAAACAGAGATTCACATACAACACCCTGTATTTCGGGACTTATGCAGATCCTATTTCATTGTGGTGCTGGAAATTAAACTAACATATAGTTGTATGCAAAGTCAGAACCTTCGTAGGTTATTTATTCCAATACTTTCCTTAACACTAGGAGGTTTGTTTTTTCCTGTTCCAGAGCATTTCTTGTCAAAACTTAATCTTGTTGCTGCTTATCTGGTGCCGTGAGAACACAGAGAACAAATTATTCCCTTTCTATTATAAACCCTTCTTGAAAAGACAGATACCACACTGCTATCAGTTGTCTCTTCTTCGGCCTAAATATAGCCCATTATTTTACTGTAAAAGAAAATCAGACTGGTTAAATACAATTTGATAATTATAAGCTGTAATATTCTTTCCATTGTCAGTAGTCTCACATTTAGCTGTAACTATGCATTCCTCAGATAGTTTGCTTATTTATTCACGCATTTTTTGTACATCCAAATTAAGTTGACTTGTCTGTTATTTCAGAGTTTCTCATTTGCTCTTTTTCATGAGAGATATGAAACTTTCCCCATTTGCAGTCTTCAGGTATAATTTCTTGTAACCCCTATATTCTCAAAGATAAATACGAGTGGTTTTCATATCACTTCAGCCAGCCCTTTAGAAAACACCAAACTCTCTGCTACCCCGTTCTTATTTTGCTAAAGACTGAGATCATACCTCTTTGATAACAATAATTAATTGATTTTGTGCAAGGCATATGCATTCACATTAAATGAATATTGATAAAAACAGGCACTGTGCACTTTTGCTTTAGTAGACTGCTTCCCCTTTCCATTGAATAAAAGCCCAGTCCTCTCTTACTCCCGATATATAATGATTGTTTTTATCCCCAGTAATCCTGTGCTAACCCTAGAAGAGGAATCCAACTTCCTCTTTCCTTGTGCTTCAGGTCAATGAAGAGTCTATGACATGGGGTTGTTTCAAGCAACTCTTCTCATGCACTGAGGCAGACTCTACACCCTGACAGAAACACACTGAGAAATCCAGAACTCATTCCAGTGCTGCACACTGACAAAGCAGAGTGTACATCTCAGTGTAATGCCCCCAGCAGCAAGACATAAAATGCTTCTGTTAATGTAGTGGCTGGAAAATTCTATGTGGTGTCCAGAAGCTATTTTAATAAATGCATTCCAACTTATCATGTAGCCTTTCATTTTCCAGGAGATTGGAGGTGCACATAGAAGGTTATAGGAACAGGCTGACTTCTGTAGCTAGATGTGGAAGTAGCTGGTGATAGTACTTGTAGGTGAAGACAAGAAGAAGAAATAAGTCATAGACTAGACTTGCAACGAGAGCATGGAGAAAAACAGTGTATGCTTCAGAGAGACATCTGCACCCACCTTATGCAGGGAAGTTCTCTCCACCAGTTGGAAAGGGGAAGGGTCTATGCGGCAGCTGTCAAAGCATACATTCTTGTTCAGCTGCTCCTGTTCCCAAGCATCTATCTGACATAGGAAAGAAGAAGAGTCACTCTTGTAGTAATCAGCAGTGTTGCTGTCTTGTGTACCCAAACTACTTCCATTCTCCTGTTAATGCTTCTTCCTTCCTATGTAGATCATTCATCTTGCCCATTGTATCACATCTCTCAGGTTTCTCATCCCTTCCTTGCCAGATGTCAAGTCTCTATGGAAACAGAGCAATTGGAGTACCTCAGAGGTTTTCTGAGAATGTGAGGCTTTGCTCCTTCCTGCTTAAAGAGCGAGTGAACATTTCAGCTTTCCTTTCTGAGTGCACTTTCCCCTTGACAATGCAAGATAATAGTTCCTTTGTGTAAAAAATGAAGGAACAATGTAGACCCACAGAAAGATTTAGGTGAGAGGGGACCTGTGGAAGTCTCTAGTCCAAAACCCTGCTCAGAGCAGGCTTGACTTCAAAGCTAGGTCAGATTACTCAGATCCTTACTCAGCACATCTAGCAAAACAATCTCTCTTCTTATTGGGTGAAGCCTGCCCACTGTGCAACTCTAAGAAGAAAATGGCCTTAGCTATGGCTTTATGTGGCAATCACTGAGGTTGTTGGAGTTCAGGAAGAAGTGCAATAATAGGAAATGGGCAAAAGAAGCACTCAATCTCACTCTCTTTCTGCACCCAGTCTTACCTCTTCTGGCCTCATTGTGTCAATGACTTCCAGTGGCTCCTGTAGGACAAAACACAGTTCAGGAGTACAGAAAGGAAAACTATGGAATGCTGGTGGAGCAATTCAGGTGCCTAAACACAGTCATCTAGTCCTGCTTTAGATGTTCTCACATGGGGTCCAGCCACTGCCCTAGAGCAGGCTTGATATGATATCCACCAACCCTGTACAGGTATATCGGATACCCAAGGACTTCTAACATGGCACAACACAAAAGCATTTTTTCATTTTTGTCTGGCCAAAACTGTCTGGAGTACAACTGTTACTCTAGGCTAGCCAAAATAGTGTTAAGTTATGCACTGGGGAAAAGACACTCAGTCATGATGTTAGCATTGCCACCTGAGCACAGATGGCTCTTTAGGAAGATGCACACTCCTTCACAGTAATCACACCCTTTCTCCTTGGAGACTGTTCCCCACTGATGCTGTCAGAGTTCAGGACCATAAGCACATCCACACTTTGGCCAGATGCTGAATGACTCTGAGTAGTAGGTTCTATTTCCATTGCATTCCCGTCAGGGTACTACTAGGTTCTCTGTATCCCTAACCTGGATGGCACTCTGTGTTTCAAGTGGACGGTTGTAATGGCACAAGAACTGCTGGATCAGTTGCCTCAAACTCCTGAAATTCCCTGAAGGATGAAAACAAACACATGGATAAGAGAAAGAGAGAAGAATGAGTGAGATACAAAAATACAAAGTGCCATGCCCATCTCCTTGCCTAAGGCAGGCTGAGACATAATATGAGGGACACAGATGATGTTACATAACAAGGTTGAGCCAGTTACAGTCTAGCATTCAGTTTGTAAGATCATGTCTGGAACATGCCAGTATAAATATTCCCATGCAATATCTTTTCCTCAAGGAGGGGAAAAAAAAACCAAACATTACAAAGTAGCCCTTAAAGATAATATTCATAGATCAGTGTCCCTGAAGGGAAAAAAAAAAAAAAAAACCAACCCAGAAGCAAGACTACTAATACAACAGTCAGTCTGATACAAGGGATAAACTGCTGTGACTAGAAGTTTCTGCAGTCCACAAACAAAATGTGGTTTTGGAGGATGAGTATGGAAAAGGGTGGTGAGAAATTGGAAATTACTTCAAAGACAAAACATTATCAACAGCCTGAATGTGACAGGTACAAAGGAGTGAGGAGTCCATGGGTTGTGGCAGCAGTGTAATGGTGGGAATGAAAAAGACTGCAGGATTTATCTCTAGGCTGGACAGTCAGGAATTAGCAAAGAGGAGGACATAGGGTTTGGTGCTGTTGTGAAGTGAACAAGGCTGTGGAGGAAGGTTGGTCAGGAACAATGAGACAAACTAAAAATCATGGCAAGGAAAGCCTCGTGAAATCACCCCTGCTCCACTTCCTCTTCCTGGATCACTCAATACTAGCTTAATGTAAAATGTCTCACACACTGTTCTTGTTTTGTTGTGATTCTTTTTCTGATTTGGTACGGAAGTGGATGGCTGTCCCACCACTCTACTGCCCTGGAAGCACAAAATGGATTTTCCTATGCCTTAGAGGTTTAGTCATACATGAGTAGTGTTAAGGAACCAGAATATTCTATATGCTATATTACATGCTAACCTTTGGGTGCCTCAAAGCATGAGCCAGAGCCCTAACCTCTGTATTCATTCTCAAGATTGGGCCACACCTCTGTGCTTGACTCACTCTCTGCATATCTCAAGACATGGAAAGGAAAAAAACCAAACCCCACCATCCTGTATCAAATATACATGCTAGAGGAATTAGAAATAATGTATGAGCACAGTCTTGGAAGCAAAATTAATATAGGCTGGGGTGGCACACAAAGAACACAATACATCAGTATTTGTCTATCGTATTAATGTAGCTGAAACAGATGTGTGTCTACAGGGAGGAGCTGTTCAGTTTTGGAGATGGCTGAGCAACAGCCTAAGCTACTCAAAAACCAAGAACAGATGTTTAGCTCTCAGGATGCTTTTCCCAGGGAAATTCATTCACAGGGTGAAGGAAGCCAGAGATGGGACCCTTCCATGCAGACTCTCCGGAAAATGTCCAAAGAGACGTTATGGCAAAGGATGGAGTGAGGAGTACTGACAGAGAGCGAGCAGCCTAAGTGGGCCTGCTTTTTCTATCCTCTCTGAGGGATCACAAGCAGAAGATATTTCCAGGTATGTTACACTGATGTTGATGTGCATTAACAATGTACCTTTACTACAGGAACAGCAGACAAAGCTCCTTCTCTCAGTCTCTGGGAAATCAGCATCTCACACAGGCATGTACATACAGTTAGCCTGAAAGCTTCCACAAGCTGGCTAGGATGTGGCTGAGGCATGCCAGAATTTACCATACCTGGGAGTTGCTGTGGCTCCAAAGTTTCAGGGATTTGTTTAAGAGGACTTGTTGGGCCATTGGGCTCCTCTTGGTAACTGGGAGTGGGACTTGGGGGCCGAGGCAGCTGTTAGAGAAAGGAGAGAAAATAAAGTCCACTCTATGTCATTTCTTTCTTGGCCTCCCCAAATGCTTCAGTACTTCTTCAGCAGTCCCTGTGTTGCAGTCTTTCCACTTATCTCCCTCACCTCTCCCTTCTCATCTGTATCCTCATCCTCATCGACGTAAGAAAAAGATTCATGCTTCAGCTTTGACAGGGTTGTCCATGGTCTCTTGCTGTGCCCATCATAGGGTGCCTCAGACAGCTTTTGATGCATTTCTCTGTTGAGGAGCCGTCGCCGTTCTGGGCTTAAATGTCTCTGGAGAAGAGCCTGCAGTTCAGATCGCTCCACAGACCCCAGAAGGATCATGGTCTCTGCATAACACAGAGCAGAGAAGCCATGAAGCCATCTCAAAGTTTTGAATGTCCCCTGCCACACACTGCCCCTTCCTCCCTCCAACCTCTTCAAAGTGCTTGGACTCGTACTATCTTGGACTTTACAAAAATCATTGACCAGCCCTGCTAGTTACTGCTAATATACAATGTGGAGCTGCGGGAAGCTCACCATCCTGACTTGTGCCACTCCTCAGCACTACATCAGCAGCAGGCTCTTTACTTATGCAAGATGCCTCTCTGCTGTCATAGTGCAGTCTAAAACTTCCCACACACTTCTCTTGCCTGCTAATCACTATCCACACTCCAGCTTACCTGTCTGACCAGCTGAAACAGCCTTCCATACATGATCCATAGCAGAAGATTTTTAGGGTGATTTTTTTAATGTACTGGGTCACACTGTTTCCTTCACAGCATGTAATTTGAGAGCTAGTTTCTTTGGGTCTTTAAGCTGATACAGTCTTCAGGAAGGACCAGTTTCTCCACATTGCTTACCTGGTGAGTCCACCAAAGGCAAAGTCTTAACAGTGGTGCTTTGGAGTAGAGTTTGCAAGTCGCGGTATTTACAGTTGGAGGAGACATATTTCACATCTTGGACCATAATATCCTCAACAAATATATTGTATTTGCTGTGAATTTATGGACAATAAGGTGAAGAGTTAGCATATTAAAATGTCTAGCAGATAAATTCCTTAAAGACGTATATAAATAACCATTTCTTTAAAAAGTGTTCTCAGAAGAATTGCTAAATAATCTTCTGTGAGGCTAACCAAAGACGACTTTCCCACAGGATCAATGCAGATTAACTGAATTTTCTTTACAGTTGTATTCCACTCCATTACCCCTCACCATAAACACACACATGAATATATACGTAAATGTATATATGTTTTATATATACATACCTATGTATACTATACATGCTAGAGAGAGGAAGACATGTATATGAATAACTGAGTTTTTTTTTAAGCAAAATATCCAAATAAAATATTCCAAACATTTGCTGGAGAAAAAAATCCAAACCTCACTGAATTAAGAAAAAAATGGAAATGAAACATTTTACTTTTAAATTTATAAACTGAAGCAATTTGGTAATATTAATACAAATTCAGTAACATTGCAGATTATTCAAACTTGTCCTTTCAGTGAAAAAAACAGGACTTTTCTTCATTTCTGTGTATGAACCCTAATTCTACTCCACCACTTGTTTTTTCTTGCTCCTGGCCTATTCTGCCTTTTTATTTTCTTTGTAGTACTATCCCCTTTTCATGACCTTTCATTCTGCCATTCATCTTCTTCTTCTTTATTTCTTTGCCACTCCCCACTTCCACCTCTTTTTACAATGGTACCTTATATGGTTCCAGCCCAGGTCTGGCAGATAGGGCAACTTCTTCACCTGGATGATGCTATCATAGAGGCTGGGCTGCAGACTCTGGGCCACCATATTGGCAAGAATGACAGCCACCATCATGGGGAGGATGTGAGAGATCTGACCTGTCAGCTCAAAGCAGATCACAGCAGTGGAGACAGTGTGGCTCACTGCTCCTGTCAGAGCTGCCGCACCTTTCCCAGATAGGGTGAAAAAGGAATAGGGAGAGAAGATGACTGTCATATAGAAGAAGCATGTCCTGTCAACCAGGAAAATCATGGGGATGGGACCAGGTAAAGAAAAAGAAAGACATGGAGACTCACCAATGACAGCATACCCTCCAGGTAAGATTTGATAGACAATGCCATCAAAGAGGATCCCATTGGGAAAAAGTGATGCCATGATTTCCCCAATAAGACGCCCAAATGCAGCACCTGGAAAATATCACCAACAATTATGGAATTAGCATGTAAGGAACACCCAGTCTGTTCTGTGCACCTGTGCTGGGTAATCACTTGAATATTTCCTAACAGGAGCAAAATCACAACTTAGATTAAAATGACACTGGAGACTAAAGAGTAGTTCTCAGTTACAAAATATAGAAGTTAGACTCCAAGGGGACAAAAAGGTACTAAGATATGTAAATCCAGTTGACCACCCATTCTTCCACATAGGCACACCAGACACAGTGGTATTTGTGATTCCCAGATAGGAAGAAGTATTTTCAGAATATGTACAATGTCAGTCCAGACCACAGTTGAGGCCCTTCACACACTCATTCTATGAATGTCAAAACAGGAGAATCACAGCTTACAGAAGAGTTCAAGTGGGAAGGGATTTTTGTAGATCTTGTTCCGACCCCTGCTCACAACAGGACTAATTTCAAAGTGAGATCAAGTCACTTAGGACCTTGTCCAGACAAGCTTTAAAAGTCTGCAAGGACAGAGATTCTTTCTGAGCACCTTAACCAGGGAAACAATTTTTTTCTTATGTCCCATCAGAATTTTCCCTGTTGCAACCTGTGCCTTTACCTCCTATTTACTGTGTGTCTCTAAGAGGAGTCTTTCTATCCTCTCTATCCTCTGCTGCATTAGGTGGTGAAGGCTGCAGTTAGGCCGCCTCTTGGCCCTCACTTCTGCAGGCTGAACAAGTCCAACTTCCTCAGGTTCTCCTTGTTTTGTGTTCCAGGTCTCCAACAATCTCAGTGGCCTCCACTTGGACTCATTGCACTTTCTCAAAATCCCTTGCATTGGTGGACAGAGAATGGCACAGTATTCCAGAATTGTGTCCAGAATGCTGAATGCAGGGAAAAAAACAATTCCCTTGCCTTGTTGGCTAGGCTTGTCCTAATACAGCCTTATTTATGGTCAGCCTTCATCACTGCAAGGACATGCTACTGACTCATGTTCAGTTGCCACCTGCCAGAAACCAGAGGTCCTTAGCACACTTCATTTCATTTTCAGTGCTGTGTTTACTTAATGCTGAACTTCATGAGTTTGTATACTTTAGACTAAAATAGCCTCTGCTACTTAACATCATATTCTTTTTATTTTTTGGCCTTGGAATTAAAACCAGTTAAAAACAATAAACTCCTGTATGTTACCATATTTCAGTTAGAAGAAATGAATAAGTGGAGGATTACATAGCAGGTACTAGTTTTGAGGTTATCTCTTCTAGTTGGCCTTCAAGGGTGAAAGGAGCAACTAATACTAATTGTAGAATGACAATTTCTCTGTACATGAAGAGGCAGAGAAATTAGAAGGCTGTGTGTCAGCATGCCTCCCCACAGTGTGGCTTTCCTTATGTAAAAGGACAGGGATTTCCTCCTCAGCATTTGTATTTAAGAGGTGGGAAAATGACAAAAGCAGAGACTCAGAGGACTGTTAACTGAGTTTGTCATAGACATGAAGTGGTAACTAGACTCTTCACCCCCTGGAAGAAACGTGCTGGGTACATACAGAATGTCTCTCATATCTTCATCTGTCAGACCTATATGCTGCAACACAAAATTGAAACTCACCCAGAACAAAAACAGGCATGAAGCCTCCACAAGGGATTGGCATCGTGGTAGCAATGACAGACATCCAGAACTAGAACAGAGGTAGAGGGTTGTTAGTGAGCAACAATAGCATCTCCTGCAGCCCCACTCTACTGCCCAGCCTGTGAATCCATGAGGAGACATGTTCTGAGGGATGTGGCAGTTCAGCCAGAAAGCAAAGGGTAAAGGGGCTGTGGGGTGTGAAGGGGAGCTGGAGGAACTCTGGCAACACACCAACACTGATGCAGAGGACCTCTGGGTGACTTCTAGGGTGGCAGGGAAGCTGAATCACCAAGAGGATGGATGAACACGAGAACTCCTTTGCCTTGGACCTCAAAAGTTGAGATTTCCTACTGCTCCAAACAGCTTAGCTTTTAGAACAGGGTTGTCAAAATTTCACAGACTCAGGAAGATTTCAGTGTGAAGGGAACTCTGGAGGTCTCTCTCCCAACTCCCTGCTCCCAGAAGGTCTAATTGCTAAATTAGATCAGGTCGCTCAGGGTCTTCTCCAGGTGAATTCCGAACATCTTGAAGAGTGGAGATTCTCCAGCTTTTCTGGGCATTTGTGCCACTGCTGACTGACACTCAGGGAAGAATTTTTTTTCCTGAAGTCCAACGGTCATAAGTTTCCTTTATTCTAGCTTGTGTCTATTGCCTCTTGTCCTATCATGATGTTGAGCAAAATGATGAAATCCCTCCTGGTACTGCTAAGACCAGCTCAAATCCTGACTTGGCCCAGCACATATAGACTTCTTCTGGAGGCAACAGCCTAACCTTGAGTGTCAAAGGCCAACACACTCAGGCAGTATGACAAGAAATTTCCACTGTTGAGGGAAACACAGAGAATGCTGCTGTTTCAAAAACTTGTAAAAAGAAGTGTACTTGGAAGATGTCTGTTGCTGCAGCAGTATCACTCATAGGAGAGAGACAACCATGGTCCAGCACATCAAGAGCAATACTTTCAGGTATTTCAGGACCAAATTCTCCTCAGAGCAGGCAAATCCTTGCTGTTCAAGGTCCACCTTCGAGGAGGTGATGCCTCTGCAGACATTGCTGTAGCTGTAGACAGATGAGATACTAATCTCTAGACAGTCAGTTTAGTGAGAGGAAATCCACCCAACACAGCTTTTCTGCTGTAACTTTTATAGGATGGTTGGCATAAAAGGGAATTTATGGCTGTTGCTCTTCCTTCCATAAGACATTTTAATATTCCAGAGAAGTTCCTGGCTGACTACAGAAACCAGGAAGCTGCAGAAGTGAAGTACTGCTAACTCAGCCACTGTCTTTGCAGTACCAAACCCAGGCCAATGGAGAATCAGGCCAAGTCTTTGCCCAGAATCAAAACAGCAGTTTATTTTCTATGTTAATAAATCCAGAAGAAAATAAACTGCTTGGAACAGTTATCTAGTGAGTTGAAAAAGCCTTTAGTTAATGGGACTAAGACAATGAATCTAATGTCTGAGGATACAGCCCTTCCAAAGGAGAACAGATGGACTCAGGATAGATACACCATGTAGTCCATTGCTCTTAAAGTAAATGGGACCTTGTCTGCTTGGTACACTATAATCAGAATTATCACAGAAGCAGAACCCTTAATTGCCTGTCAGAAATTTGATATTGCTGGTTGTGGCTGCGATAGAGTTAATTTTCTTCATAGTAGCTAGTATGGGGCTGTGTTTTGGATTTGTGCTGAAAACAGTGTTGATAATCCAGGGATGTTTTTCACTATTGCTGAGCAGTGCTTACACAGCACAGAACATTTAATCTGCTATTGCTCTTCAAAAAGTGAGCAAAACTGTTTTCAGCTGCATTTCTCCATCAAGTTATGGTACTGCTAACAAATCCTTGAGCCTCACGCAACTATAGATTGTGCTTCTATATTCTTATTTGTCTCCTATCTGTAGTCAGGAATATCAAGTAGACTGTATCAGACTTTCTTTAGACCAAATATAAATTTTTACTCAATTCCTTATTTTTTTGGAACTTGAGAAATCTTCCTGACATATTCCTCCCTACCAACTACTACATAGTGGGTAGTGAAGGTCATTCAGCAAAAAGAAGATGACCTAGGGATGAGTGAAGGAGGTCACTCTATTAGGGCCAGGAAACTATTCCCTAATAATTTTGGTAATCTTGCATTCAACACGGGCAAACATCACATCAAAAGATGTAAGACTCTATTTCAGTTGTAGGACTTCATCCAATACCAAGTAACCCAATACCATTGACAGTTCACAAACTATTTTACAAAGGATTAAGAGCATTCACTCCAAGTGGAGAAGGGTCATAATGAGCTGCATTTCCTACCTTCATGAGAAAGAAAAGCAGGATGATGATGTAAATGCTGACTTTGGGATGGATCCAGACAGCAGATTTCCCTAGGATCTGAGGGTCTCCTGTGTATTTTGCCCAGGTATAGTTATCAAAGAGAGAGCTGATGGCTTCCCGTGGCATCAACTAAACAGCAAAAAAAAAAAGAAAAAAAAAAGGCATGAGCCATGGGAGTGGACCTTTTTCAAGATTTCAAGGAGATAGCAGAGATTGTAAATCACAGAATATAGTCCCTTCTCAGTCCAAACTTCTCTCAAATCTTTCTTCCCCTTTCCATGGCATAAAGTTATTGGGGCACAGGATAAGGGGAGACTGTTCTGCAGAACTGCAAATACACATCCCACTCTCACCTCTCCTGCCATGAACTGCCCAAATCCTGGAGGAAAGGTCACAGTTGCTATAAGGAAGGTTATAACCCCAGGGTATATGAGGCGACTGAAAAGAAAGAAAAATTTATTAAAATATAACCTCACATTCTTTACTTGTAGCACTATAACTTTAGGACTATGAATGCTATTTCTGTGAAAGCTCTCTGCCTCATCTGTATCCATTGCATTGGAGTTCTATTACTAGAAGTTTAAGGCCCTGCTCCACTGATCATTATCATTCATAGACTGTTCAACTGTCAGCAAAGCCATTTTTCCCATCAGAATTAATGTAATGGGAGGGATGGAAGGAGAGAGGGATGTACAAAATGCATAGATTTGAATACACGGAGGGGGGATATGTATTTACAATGATGTGTTGACCTATTGTCAAAAGCCAGCACCTCTTCCTTTTGTCTAATTATGCCAGTCTTGCCTCTTCATCCCCCATGCAATTTATCCTGTCCTAGTGTATTCTAAATGCAGGGGTTTTTTCACGCATTTCTGCATGCATCCCCCATTGCATTAATTCTTATGAGAAAAAAAGCTTCTCTCTCCTTTGAATTGCTCAGTATAACAATTCTTGGGAAAGGTGCCCTTGGTGGCCAGTGGGTCTATTAGTGATGGGCCTGTGGGGCATAGCTGGACAGCAGGCTGGAGCCATCTGTGTTTTGCTACTGCTGTGTCCAATCCCAAGAAGGGTTTCTGGGTACTCTGTGACACTTCATGGGCACTGAAACAACGTGAGTCTACTCTGCTTCCACATGCCGGACTAATCCTGTCAGGCTGTAGGCGTGCCCTACAGGAAGTTCTTGCTGAGATGCTGTGATATTCAGGAACACAAAACACAACATTTAATTTCTTTCAGTCTAAGAACCTACAAAATTATGATAAATTCGTCAGAAGTTTGCAGTAAATTCCCACTTTTCAGGCTTTGCTCCATTTATCTATTATTAAGATTTTTATTTTGTTCTGGATTTCTCTTTCATGCTGTAATTCATACCATTTGGTTACTGTCAGTTTCAGCTTTTGGTTCGTGGGCATGCAGTAATTGCAATACTGCAAGACATTCTTTACATTTTTGCCTATATTTTAATGTAAAAAATCAGATTTTAAAGATTCAGAAATTTAGATTTCAGTTGTATTTAATTTTCTTAAAATATATATGATGTTGAATGTATTTTTTACTGATTCTAAAAAAAACCAAACAGAAGCAGCATGATCTTAAGAAGTATGATCATTGATTTTCTAATTAAAAACATTTTCTGTCCAATCAATAGTTTCCCTTCTTCTCATAATGAATATTAAAGAGACTCCCTTCTAAATTAAGAAGCTATTTGGAACTATTTGGGCTGGTCAAGAAGAAAAATCCAGCTCAGAACAAATTCTCGTGGTGTTTGCAGATATCTTACTCTCATGTAATTTCAGTTTCTTGTATTTTTACTATCTTACACTTGAAATAGTTCCACTAGCTTCCAGAAAGTATTTGTTACTATCCATTACTAGTAGGCTATAAAAATCTGGTCCATAAAGAGAATATCTTCAAAGGCACTCACTATTTGGTGAGAAACCGGCTCAGAGCTGTATGACGTCGGATGCACAGGACCACTTGGCGATTGAGATAAACAAAAAATGCTCCAAGGAATCCAGAACATATCCTAAAGTAGAGAAAATGAAATAAAATCATACCAAACAACAGCTAATACACAAACCATCAACCAAGAAATTGAGTTTAAATGTTTGTCATGTTTGCCAGCTATTTATGAAGTCTTTCAAATGTCACCTAGAGGGTTACTCCTGCAGCAACTCACTTGAAGACACTGTCTCCCTGTTGAAAGGGGAGAGATTATTTTGGACCTCTTTGTCACACACACTGCCATTTTACCACTTACATTTTCTCTTCTTTGAGGTGAAAATCTATAAAATAACCTATTAAAAAGGACTGAGAGATCTCAGTGGGGGCTAGAGAAGAGCAACTGGGCAACAACCAGTATTTTCAGAACTTTGACATCAGGTTGGAACAGGAAATAGTAAAAATTAAGGGAGTTTAACTCTGATTCAGCAAAATAATATACCTACATCAAATATTAAGAGTAATAGCAACTAGTGCCTAAAGCAAAGTATGTTATTGCTACGATCTTAATCACTTAGGTCTATGTTCCTGATCCTAATAAAACCAAAAAACTATAGTTGTCTAAGGATTGGCCTTAATCTGTGTGCTCTCTAACTTAATGAGACCTGGATAAATAGGGCCTAATTCTCAAAGGTGAAGTAAAAAAAAAAAAAAAAGAATGCATTTAGAATGGCAAGAAGAAGTATTATTTTATGTGGCAAACAACCCACAGAATATTTAGGATAAACAGATAACATTTTAATTCTATCAGTTTTTAAAATTAATGGAATTTTCCTTTTGTTATATGTTATACAGGCTTTTGACAAATCCTGTTTAGATTACTTAAAAAGTTGTATGTTGAAAAATTCCTGCTTGATCTTTAAAAATTTGATCGAAGCACGTTTAAACAAAGTATAAAGCTGTTCACAGAAAAACATGTCCAATGAACTTAAATATTTTAAGCTTAGTACTACTGTTAAAATAGGTCAGTCCCTTAGGCAGTATAAGCCTAAGGGCTGCACAGTGAACTGAATTTCTTTATAATATATTAAATGAAAAAACAGATCCCTCCATTCCTGCCTATCAATTGGTCAATAAAATAGAAGTGCCCCTCCTGTATATATTTTGCAAATTAACAACATTTGCTGGCACAAAAGAACAAGATCTACCCGTTGACAGTGCTTGGGCTGGCTCAAATTTTTTGTCCTACCTGAAAGTGACGAAATGTGTTGGCTAGAAAGAGAGTTCAACTTTGAGACTTAATATTAAGAGAATTTGGGGCATTCCAAGCTGGCATCAGGACATCCAAATCTTTTTTAAACCACCACACTGGACGCCCAGGCATCTGAAAGTATTTCACAGTTGTCATACACTCCCTTCCTAGCCTATGTGCAGTACTGCAAAAAACAAGCTCTGCTAACTGTTCAAAACACAATGACAAGAAGTTTTGAATTTCATCAACTGTAAATCGTAATGATTACCTTTGTCCTTGCCAATCTAAACAAACGGACTCCCCCGAGTTCAGCATGCAAGCCAATTTAAGGAGAAGAACAAAGCAGATACATATTCTGATAAGTGAATATGAGGGCAGCATACTAAAAGGAGCTGGAAAACCTCAACTGTATTTCTGGTCTTCGATCCAGGTCTTGCAACAGAATATGTTCACAATGCCAGCACAGGTATTTGTTCTTACAGTGTATTCCCTCCACTACTGCTCTGCTGTGATTTCCCTGGAGCCTTTCTCAAGCTCTAACCCTCACAACAATTCCAAACTCAGCTTTTCTCTAGTACCTCCCAATTCTCTTCTCCTGTTTCTGAAGTTCATTCTTTCATTTCCAAAACTTTCCTCCACAAAGGAAACCAACTCAGGTATCTCCATAAATAAAACAAAACTGACACTCATCTTAATAAATTAACTGGTTTTGTCACTGGATCCAATCATGATTCATTTCCTCTTACCACCATGTCAAACATACCAACCTCTCTTAAAAAGGATATCCATTCTGACCTCGTGAAAGGGAAACTTCCTGGTTAAATATTTTTGTCAAGTGAAAAGGCCATACTTGTTGGGTCAGTTCATTTCGGGATGCCATCACCATGGTTAAAGGGTCATTCAGTAAATCTATACCCAGAACCTAGACAAAGTTAAACTTAATTCTTTTTCCAGAACTTAATTTCTGAAAAAAAAAAAAAAAACCCAAACTATAATACCCACATTTCCTTCCTTACCCACTGTGTTATATGGGCACCATTTCTGAAGCAGGAATCCCAACAAGCCAAGGCCTCCTTTGTGACAATCAAAATGTCTTCAGAGAGCTGTAACTGTTTTGCAAAAGAACTTCTAACTGAGCTCACACGATAACCTGCGTAGAGCAAGAAGCCAGGCTCCTGGGAACTTACCCTATTACAGCAAATGCTGGCAGCTCTTGCAGATCAAAGGGGAAATCCATCCGAAAGTTTGTTCTGAACAGGGCTGTGATGGTAACTGTGAGAGAGGAAAGAGGCAGAGGAGGAAAGGGAATAATGACGTGAGGGGTAGGGACAGGGGAACTTGCAGTCCTAGGACTCTAAATGGTATAGGTTTGTTTTCAGAGAATGTATATATTTTTTAGCTACAATAGCAGATTTTTAAAGGGTTTTCTTTTCTGTCTTTTCTTCTACCATCTGTTCTTTAGGAAATAAAACCTCTTCCCACTTTACTCTCTGACTCTGAAAACTCTCTTTGCCAAGGGAGGCAGTGCTTACATATCTAGAGAAGCTGTGCCACACAGTGCTGACTGCCTTCTAGAAACAAAACTCAGATCCTCTCTGAAGTTATATCTGTAAATTTTTTTACTGGCACCAAAACAATGAAAGTCTTAGAAATCAGAGATGGAAAAGATCAGCTAAGCTTCATCTCCAGCTCACCTCCTCTGGTAGTGCTGCACTTCTAAAATGACTCAGGTGTTGAAACCTGTCCAGCTTTTACCTGGAGGTATCGAATTGTGTGGAAACAGTAAATATCAGTATGCCAACAGGTTAAGTACAAATTACCAATCTAGTGCAAAGTGGAAATGCAGCTGAATGAGGATGGATATAAATCCCAACTTGCCCTGGATGAAGGAATTACTTGCACAATGAAGAAAGAAAAGAAGCAGTGAAAATCTAGCATTATATTATAATTACAGGATATATTAATTACTTGTTAATTGGTCAGAGAAGACCAGGTTTAGAGCAATGATTTAATCAGATCTCAGTGGGTTACATTACCCAAGACAACTAAGCCTGTCCAACCGCATGCTACTATCCAAAGTGGGAAGATCTTACTCCCTCTCTTCACCCTGTTCCTTCCCTCCTGGCTGCACTGTTCTCCCCACCCATCAGGCCCACTCTGACACATTTCAAAGCTTGCACTGCATTCTTTCACCTCATTAAAACCTATCAGAAAACCTATCTGCTCTTTTCCTGGATTACTCCTCTGCCAGGGAAGTGAGTTGAATGGAAGGGTTCAATGAATACAGAGGTGGTACAAGGGAGGGGTAGAAGAACACTCAGGAAGCGAAGATGATGAAAAGCAGGATGTTCTCTTTTTTTGTTACATCAGCCCAAGAAAGGCCTTATTTCAATTTAGTTTTAGGAAATAGATAGTCCAAGCCACTAGATGAGAGCGCATTAAAAAGTACAGTAGTGCTCACTTGCAAAGAGTTTTGCCACAGGGAGGCAGAGATGACCAGGGCAAAGGGAAACAGTCATAGCACTTAGTCTGAGTCTTCCTAGGCTCCCTTTCTACTCCTACAAGACAGAAGGACATTTCTACAGAAAGATTCATCCCACCTATCTTCATCCTTGAACAACTAAGCCGTTTTCTCTCCAAACTCTACTAGTTTAGTGTAGCTGTTCAACTCGTACAAGGTGAAAGTTAAGAGAAGTCCCACCACAGAAGAAACGAGCAAGTCTAGTTAACAGAAAAAATATACTTAAAAAAGCTTTGTACTGTAAAATACCACTGAGCCATGTGTAGAAGTGATCAGAAGGAGCAGCAGGAAGGCAAGGTGTAAAACATTATGGCAAATAAGATGAAGTCTCAGGACATGTTAAACAGAAATCCTGCAAGTTGCAGAACTCCAGTCTGTCATGATGAGCAAACAGGGGCCTAAGTTGCAGCAGACAACCAGAATGGGCCAGATGTTATCTGGAAAGTAGAGATAATGGTATAAAGCCAGCCAACAAAGCCATCAGTATCCAGAAGCCAGAAAAGATTTTGTGGGTTGAAGAAAGGAAAGAATTTTGGTGAGGTGCTACACAACTTACTTGCACCTGATGTGACTGCTTCCCTACCTACTAATTCCTGATAGCAATGATGCAGCTTGAAGGTAAAAAATGACAATAAAAGAGCTGCTAAACAAGCTGCGGACCTAAAAGGCATTAAGATCTGAGGCAGATTAGGAATGAGGTAGATGAGATATTTAAAAAAAAAAAATCACCTTCTCTAATGAGCATCAGGTCTTCCAGTGAGTGGAGGGGGACCCATGGCTAGCATATGTGTTCAAGAAGGTTGTGGAGCAATGCAGTGAGCAAACTCGTGGCAAACTGGTAAAACACATACAGATTTAAAAAGCAAGCACAACCCTGGAAATACCTATTTGGAACCTCAAAGCCAATGAAAAAAAAAAATCCAGAAAGATAATTAAAATGTGTAAAAACTTTGTGATGTGGATTTTTTTTTTTTTTTTAACAAAACAGTAAAACCAAATTAAGGGTAATGGTATTTATTCAGATCATTGAGAGGCCCCACATGGGGCTGTGGACCCTCATGTAGAGGTCCACTGACCAGACAGCAAAAGGGAAAATATTATCATGGATCAGAAGCTAGCACAGAGAGAGAAAAAAAGCGAGTTTATCATGTCAGACGTGTAATGATACATGTCATACTACACATGTAGCTGGAGTTGCTTATTGTTGTCTTGGGGCCCTGTGGTGCCAAATGGATTTCTTCAGAGGTCAGTATTAGAGCTGATTCTGTTTAACATCGGCATCGAGATCCTGGATGATAGGACACAACTCACTCATCACTGATCATACTGAACTAGGGAGAGAGAGAAGGGGGTGGTTTGTTACCTGGAGGGCTTCATTCAGAGTGGCTTCTACAGACTGGAGGAGTTGACTAGCAGGAACATTGTAAATTCAACAAAGTCACTCAGTACAGCCTGGGGGTCTAATGAACAGGAAAAGCTCTGCTCTCGTGCCAGCAGGTCCTGGTGGACACAATACTTAATATGTGCCCTTGTGGCACTGAAAGCTAAGCACATACTGGGCCACATCAGCAAAAGCACAGTTGGTTGAGTGTAGGGGAACAAGAAGATACTGAATTAGGATTTGACCTTCAAGACATGAAGCTTTGCCCTTGAGCAAATAAACAGACCAGAAGAGGAAAACAGAAGGAACTGACGCAGCAAGAAAAGCCTGAGGAGCAGACGCAGCAAGAAAAGCCTGGGAGCCTCATCAATCACAACAGTAGTTGGTAGCCATGAACGGTAGTTGGTAGCCAATGAAAGAATTGTTTATGTCGCGTGCACAGCAGTAAATGCTATAAAGCAACTGTAAAAGAGCAATAAAGGGATTCCGATTCTGTCTCTGATTTATCTTCTATCGGAGTCTGTGCCTTAATCCGTTGTATTTGAGGGTGGTGATTATTTCCTTCCCTAGGGCACTGATGAAGCTACATCTAGAGAAGTCAGTACAAGTGAAATGTTACAAAATTGGAGAGAGTCCCGTGGCCAGGAACTAGGTCTGCTCAGCCTGGAAATGAGAAGGCCCAAGGGGGTTCTAACAGCAGTCTTTCCTACCTCATGGGGAAGTTGTAAAGACACAGTGAAAGAAAAAGAAGTAACGGGCACAACTTCCTACAAAGGAATTTTGTCTATGTATAACAAGAAAATGCTTCTTTTTGGGAGGTCGTTCAGCACTGGAACAGATGCCCAGAGAGGCAGTGGAAAGTTGTCCCTGCTGTAAGCAGGAGTCTGGAGTAGAAAGCTCCAGGGGTCTCTTCCAAGCAAAATCTTTCTATGATTCTATGATTAAGAATTTTCTATGGAAGACAGCAAAATCTGCACATGACACTGAATCAGTTTACCCTGGTTGGAAGCAGAGAAAAGTGCGTAAGAAAGGCAACGTTCTGTGTTGATGAATGTAAAGTAATACAAGTGAGGGAAGACTATTGATACATTAGAAAGTAATCTAATTTAACAACAGTATTTCAAGAAAGAGAGTTGGATCAGTGTAGACAGTTCTAAGAAAACAGTCTTTTTACCTTTTCCCTAACTGTGGCCACTAGAAGTGTGCAAAAGCTGCATAAAAAAATGGTATCATAATGCACAGTATTGCATTTCAACATTGTAATACGTTCCAATAGGTCCATGCAATAGCCACACCTGCTTGGAACTCTGACCATTTTATCTCCAAAATATTCTGGAAGAAGATGGCAAATGCTTGCCTAAGCAGAAAAGTTAGTTCACATATTATGTAGGAATTTGCAATAGTTTGCATGTTCCATATGAATGTTACAGGTAGATGCACATAGTGCACATTAACGAATGCAGTTTCTTCCACTTTCAAGGACATTAACCTATCTCATACAAAGGCTTTCTTACTGGGTGATAATAGTAGCTATACAGGAAACTAGCACAAAGACATCTGCTTATCTACTAAGTGCATAACTTTGGGGGTAGACAAGAATTTAGAGATTGTGAAGACATCAGAGAGGGAGCCTAAGAAAAACCCTTGCATGAATAAAGAATGAAAAGAGAGGGCTTGTAACTTTCATAAGGAAATGAACAAGAAAAGACGTAAGACATAACAGCAAGAAAGCTAAGTTAGAGCAGGCATGACAAAAGATCATAAAATAATGAACGATGTAGCTAGACAAAAGTTTCTAGTTCCTTAATACAAGGAAAATTCAGAACTATGAAAAGGAACTCTTTTTCATAGACAATTGGATCATGAAACTTTATAACTCAGACAGTCAATGAAACAATGTAACGAGCCATTAATGGGGGTATTAAAGCTGTCTGGATGATTTTGAAGAAGGGACAGTGATTAAGATGTTTCAGGATTAAGCTAATTTCTAATGATTTGAGAGATCAGCAAGGCAGTTAGAGCAGATAAAGTGAATGATAGGAGATTATCTCCTGTCATCTCTCTTTGAATTGCTTGTGTTTTCCTCTGGAAAGAACAGAAAGATGGGGTTTTTTGTGACACATCTGATAGTTGAATACCCCTCAATATGAGGCAGTGTTTCACAAAGAAAGAAGTAGTCACTTTCTACATTCAAGCAGAAAGTGCAGTCGCTTTCTATATTCAAGAGAATATTCAAGCCAAATAATGTTTTAGCACAAAAAAAAAAATTCCAACCCTGTGAAGTCAAGAGAAACATAAGTTATACCAGTTTTAAGGGAACTGCCCACATAGAGCTCAGATCAATAAAAGATCAATATAACTGTAAGAATAAAAAATAAAGACATTAAAAGCAAGAAGATTACAAAGAAATGTCAGCCTTCTGCATCAGCTGGATCTCCATTCCCTCAGTATCTGAAATTCTCTCCTGAACAAGCTTGTTCTGTGCTATTCATGTCTACACAAATGTTGCACTCACGCTTTTCAGTTACTTGAGAGTTATTTTTTCAGGACCTTCACTCAGACACTACCAATCATTTGGTAGCGTCCTAACAATTTTATCATCTCAATTTCCTAGACTACTTGGTTTTTATGCTTCTAGTCAAGAGATAACCAAAGCAGACCATGGTATTTCCAGCAGATCGCAGCAGCATACACAGCAGTATGTACTACATTCTCTGTGATGGGATATCTGTATGTTCTCAGCCTTGACATTATGCTGAGTAGAGGCAAAAATCCCACCTCAGGGGCCCTCTTACTTGCCAAGGACTGGTATTCCATCATCTTTCAGACGTATTCCCTAGTACACCTAGGAATAGTTTGGGTTATACAATTGAAGGCATAAGATACTTCCCTTTCACTTTCCTTCTGTACTGCTGGAAGTCACTTGTCATGGCAGAATTTTCAAACTTCACAGAAGATTGTGGTTTTGAGAAAGATGGAAGATAATAAATTAATAGAGCAACTTTGGTACAATGAGAGTAGGAATGGTTCTTAGCTTACCTGCATCCTTGTTCCAAACAGCAAGGACTCGGAAAATGAAGGCACTAAAGGTAGCTGCAAAGAATCCTCTCCAATAATTGCGCACAGCAAAGTATGTGGAAGTGACCTCAATGCTGAAAAGGACCCCTAGAAAGAGTTGGAAAGGGAGTAAAGTCACTATCAGAAGTGCAATGTTAGAATAATGAGAAAGGCTTCTAAATAGTCTGCTAGAGCAGTGGTCTCCAAACTTCTTTGATTGTACACCCCTATCAATAAAATATTTTTGAGCACGTACTCCTGAATATATGTGTGTCTATTTAAAAATTATATACACATACTACTGTACTAATATATTATGTACCATATAAAGCATACACAAAAAATTAAAATTAAAAGGATGAGATAAAGATGAAATATAAGTGTAAAAATAATTTGCTTTATTTATTAATGAAACTAAAAAAATTGTTCTCACTAAAAATACTGATATTCTCTATTTTTTAAAATCTTAGTTTAACATTTTGTGATACAGTGCTTCAAAGGCCTGATTCTGTGTTCAGTTTATTTTGATATTTGGTCTTAATGGCTGTCACAGCCCAAAAATATACCACACAGAGATACATAGATTCAAATGTAAGAAATACATCATTGGCTACGCTTACTAAATCATGATACTATTTTTCAATTCCATCTACCACTTACACAAAGATTTTTGTTGGAATTTGGATAGTAAATTTCCATCTTCCTGATGTCAACCAGTTGTTCTTGCAAACTCATCAGAAGGTGTTGAATTGAATTTTACAAAACCCACTGAAACTCTTAATCTGGATTTTAAACAGGTTAGAAAGTTCTGTTTCCAAGTTTTTTCGTGTATGAGAATTTTTGTAGGTGACACACATTGCATTTGGCAACAAATTTAAAAAAATCTCTACAAGCTTCTTTTGAAAAGCAGCTACTTCCTCACTCCCTGTTAAAATGTCACTTTCATCTTGAAGGGATACACCAAGTATGTTTATTTTTTTGAAAACATCTGCTAGGTAGCATGCTATTGACAGGTGCTTGTCATTGCATATCAGAAAATTCAGAATACTTGTCTTTTTGTAAAAGAAAAATGTGTAATGGTCTTTAAATTCAACAGCTCTTTTAGAAGCCCACTTCCACAAGATAACCAAATAACTGTGCAGTACAAAGGATTTTCACAGTCACTCCCCATCTCATAATGAAGTATTGTAAAGATTCTACTGTTTCAAGGTCTTGTTTCTATGAAATTAACCACATCGGTGACATCCTGTAGCACTTTGTGCATGTCTGGCTCCCATTTCTTTGGTGCAGTACTTTGCCAATGAACAATGCAGTGAAGGAATTTCAGGTGTGGTGCTATCTATGTAACCTTACCACACAATCCTTTTCTTATGTTAGTCAAAGCAGCTGCTCCACTGTTCTTTATACTTGCACAGCTTTTCTGTAAAACATTTTTATTAAAGAAGTAATTTACTGTTAGGAATATAGCTTCTCTGGTAAATGTTTCCTTTAGTGGCTCACAGAAAGTAGTTCTTCATGTATTTCACTGTCGAAACAGACTCTAGCAAATTCCATAAGCTGAGACATGTTAGAAACATCTGTACTTTCATCCAGCTGCACAGCAAGCCTCTCACACTGTGTAATTTGTACTGATACTTGTTTCTTCAAATCTTCAGCATTGTTTTCCATGTGTCTTCCAATAGCATTTGCTGACAAAGGAATGCATTTTAGCTCGCTGCTGTATTGTTTTCTGTGTATTATTTCAGCCATTTTTACTGTGTCAGGAAGAACAAGTACTTACCCAGTAGTATGTAGCTTCTTGTCTTCTATGAATTAAGAAACCTCAAAGAAGGCTTATAAATGCTTATCATTAAGTTCAGTGAAATTTAGTAAAGTACTGGATTGAATATCACATAGCTTGAAACATTATTGCTGAAAAAATGGTAGAGGTTTGTCTTCATGTTCTGGATGCTTAGTTTTTAAATGGCTTGCTAATTCTGGTGGCTTCATAGTGTCATTAGGTATCTTCTCAAAGCACCTTCTCAAAAGCTTAGGGTGACGTTCGTAGTTAACCATAGCGGATGTAAATCCATATTTCAAATACGGATTCAAATTTGGATTTTTTTTTTTTGACAACTTCTTGTAAGACCTGATTAGCTGGTCATAGTTTTTACCTTGTAATGTGGCTGATTAAGAGCTTTTACAAGGAGTAGGGGAAGTGTCAGCTCTGCCATTTTCTTGTCCCTTGTCTGTGCTCACATTATTAGTACTATCTTCCATCCATGGTCTCTTTGCAGGAATCCTTTTAAGCCACTTATCCATTTTGTGATGGTTAGTTCAGTCAACCCTAGGTAATATAATCCATAAGTCCACTTAAGTGGGAACACATTGATTGCAATACACTGCAATACGCTAAAAGTGAGCAAATCACTGACCATCCTCCGTGTTGTGAACAGCTCTACACCCAGGACACCTCATGCACTGTATGTGAGAAGTGGCCATCTGACATAAGCACCAAGTGAGGGCACTAGTGCTAATATGTATGCTGAATATCAGTAAAGCTTAATTTATTTCCTTTTTTTTTTTTTTTTAGATTAAAACAAAAGATTCTTTAGATTAAAAAAAAAAGAAATTCCAATATTTCCTTCCTACACCCCAGTGAATCATCTTGCACACCCCCTGGGGTGTGCACACCCCATTTTGTAGACCACTGTTCTAGACAGTCTTCCCCTCTTGCCTCTGGAAGGCTGACAACATGTGGAAAAAAAGACTGCGTCAGAGGCGCTGGGAGGCTGATAAAGGTAACTCTAGGTTTAGTGAGTTAGGTGGTGTTGGGTTGGACTTGATGATCCTTGAGGTCTTTTCCAACCTTAATGATTCTATGAAAGGTAAGCTTCTTTGTTCAAAGTAGGTGACAGATCAAAAATATGGTGAAGTAAAGAGGGAGAAGAGAACATGATTAGGAAGGAGAGGATTTAGATACCTGAGAAAAAGGAAACAGAACAGCCACTTGCCTCCAAGTGGTGTCCCAAAGCAGCAGCCGACCCCCACAGCGCAACCCACAGTCAGGACATCCGTGTAATAATATGGCTGCTACTGGTGGACAAAGAGAGACAGACACACAGAAGAAAGAAGGAAAGAAAGCTGAGAGTGAGTAACAGAATTGGCAGGTACAGCAACATGCTATCACACAGCTCTGTCACCGGTCTTAGAGATATAGCTATATTTATCTTACTTCTTCCTTCTGGTTGGCTTCAAAATACTCAAAAGACAAGACTTGGCACAAGACAGGCATATATCTGGAGTCACATCTTCAAGACATGGAGAAGGCAGCATCTCATCTTTCATTGAAACATGCATATTTCTGTCACTGTAGAGGAAATGTCTCGTGGAAAATCCTCCGGAGAGCGGAGGGCACATACGTATGTTTTACTCCACGTTTTTATTTTGGCAGGTAATCTCAGGATATGCATGTGCCAGAGAATGCCTCAAAAAAACCCACTCTGTGAGTTTGTGTGCACAAAGCATATGCATATCCAGAACCAAGTATGGACATTTGCTGAAGGTCCTGTCACTGTGGGTAGGTGATTGGCTAACAGATCACCTAGTAAAGTATCGTGTTGTCCTGGTGAAACAATCACAATAATGCAAGGAAATGGAAGGTATAAAAGGTAGAGTCTTCTCCTGAGAGAGTTTTGGAAGATACAGAGCTGTTGCATGGGAGAAAATGCTCTTTCACTGGTTCTCCAAGATTTGGCCCTGAAGTGTCTGAGAATGGTAAAAGGTGAGCAGATAGATAGGTTTTATTTTATTTTGTCTAAATCTTAGGTGGTGTATAATACACCAGTGTTAAAAGCCTGTGTATTTGGTACTTTCTACTACCATGTGTTCTCAAAGTAGCCTGTTAGATCTCCCACAGGAGTTTAGAGAAAGGGTGGTCTCGTGTTACGGTGGGAATTGGAGTGGCCAGGCTGGATTTTAAGGCCAGAAGGCCATGAATTCCTGTTTACCTGAACAGGTGTTTGATAGACCCTCAACTAAGAGCTGTCTTAAGGCTGTCTCTGCACAGCCCAACAAAAAAGGGCAGATCCAGAACAACCACAGCTTTGTCGTAGGTAACTTCTGTGGCCTTAAGACACAATCATACCCACAACAGGGAAGGAGTTCAGTCCAGAGTGTTTGGAAGAGTGGGAGGGTTGTGTTACAGCCCACCAGCATGGCGATTAACAGCTTGAAGCTGAGGGTGCATGGGATGTGGTCTGCAGTATGGTGAGAGGTAATAAGCATTGTTTGAAGGTGCAAAGCCTGATGTCCCAGTGTTGAGACCTATAGCAACCACTGAGGACAGTCTGTGGCATATGGCATCTCCCAGGACACAGCACTGTGTCAGAGTGCTGGTGCTGTGTAGCAGCTTAGGAGCAGGCAGATAGACCAAAACGAGCCAGATACAGACAAACAAAGAGTACCAGAGCGCAGTTAGAAAAAGCAGGCTGGGCACCTTTTACTTGTCAAGGGCTAAATTCGCTTTTCAAATCCACTTTGGGGGCTCCTTGTTAATACACGGGGTAGTATTCACCAGCAACAACACCAAGAAGTTATATACCTTGGGCAATATGATGTGAAGTTGCAAACTATATCCTGGACTAAGGTCAGCAAAAGATTACATGACTCCCAGGTAATGGAAATCACATTCGGCAATTTGGTGTGAATCTGTAAGAGGAATCCAACTAGGGCTACAGAAGCTATGACAAATTTCAGTTCATTCCCATACTAAAATGGGACAGACTCATAAAGAGTTTTAGTCTGGAAGGTATGTCTGGAGGCTTCTTCAACACCTCACTGCTCAGAACTGGGATAACCCCAAAGCTAGATCAGGGTGCTCAGGATATTGTCCAGGTGAGCCCTGGGCAGCACCAAGGGTGGAGATTGCCTATCCTCTCTTGGCACCTGTGCCACCCTGAGCCATCCTGGGGCAAAGGGAGAATTTTTTTTAATGCATAGGTAGAATTTCCCTTGGTGCAAGTTGAGCCTGTTGTCTCTTGTCCTGTCACTGTTCTCTGAGAGGAGTTTGTCTGCTCTCCAGGTTGAACAATGCCCATGGCAGACAGGGACTGAACAAGCTGCATCATTAGAAATAAGCACGTTAATAGGTGTAACTTTTTCCTATGACCTTCCCTTTCTTTCACTGCCACCAGTTAACACAAGAAAAGAAAGAACTCGTGTTCCTAGAGTGGAGAGGTGTCTGTGGAGACCCTGCCTCAGAGCAGGAGATCTCACAGCAAGAGGCTAAATGACTTGTACATTAAATGTCACACATAGGAAGACACTTGCCTCCAAGAGGAGCCCCGAAGCAACATCCAACTCCAACTGCGCAAGCCACCACCAGGAAGTCGAACTGCCTATGTGCATTCTGGAACAGAAAGTGCAGCCAGAGAAGGGCATGCTGGGGTTAGAGGGAGCAAAGCCAGGGAATTAGTATCCAGAACAATGAAACACAGAAACAGCCAGCAGCAGATTCAGCCATTGCTACTACAAATAGCAGGCTCTACAGACTTTAGTGCAGTCTTTAGTACTGTCAGCTGGTCTTCAGCAGTGACATCTGGTCCTTATGCACAGACAGGATCTACCCAAGTAGTACAGTGCCTCCCATTGTTGTATTACACAGCCAGTTTCTGCTAGGAGCCTGTATGTAAAGCAGTTCCTACATTTAGCTATATATGCAGTTAATAGATTTTTTTTTTTATACAACTAGTTCTGCGACAGCAAAAGCCTAGAGACAGAGTCAATCATTAGCAATGCTGTATAAATTTGGCTTAAAGACAAATTGATCTTTGTCTGCAGCTACTTTTTTATACAGATAATGATCACAGTGCAAAGGTATCAGCATAATGAGACTGAAACTTTGTCAAATGCATATTCCTAACCAGCCTCTGTGTAACTGGTAGGTAACATTGGTGGTCCTGCACAGTTATTTGACTGTGTATCTGGCCTCCTACTACCATGTTCTTTGACTTGCATTTTACTGCTCTATAGCAGTAGAGTGAACCTCAATCCATATGTTTCCTCTCTGTTTTGCAGTCTACCAGTACTATCCTATGTGTCTTAGGAGTTGAACCCGTGGAAGAGCTGTATGCAGAAACATGTGCCTTACCTCATACACACCACAGAAGATTGACATGAACTTGCTGAGTACTGCAGCACAGATACTGGCAATATGCACAAAAGGACCCTGCAAGAGAAGAGCAGGAGAAAATCAGAGAGGGTTGCCCTCTGGTTACTGACAATGATTTGGATGCAGATCTCATAATTTCTCTTTGGCCATCTCAGCCAAACCTCCAATCATCTTTTTTTTTTTTTTTTTTTTTTTTTCCTCTTAAAGACTACCTGACTTGAGATCTTTGATGTTTTCTATATCAAGCCTTTCAAAGTAGATAGAAAATGGCCAACAAAAGGTAAGTGTTGATGGAAAGTGCAGAGCTTTGAGAAGAGGAATGGTGGCAAAAGAAAGAAAACATTTATAGACTCTTATTCCACAGATAACCCATCTCACCTCACAGACTCTGACCACTACTGCACATGAAAACAGCAATATTTACCTCTTTCCCCACAGGCATGCCACTTCCAAGCCCAGCTGTGAGACCCACAACTTTGGCCACAAAAGCTTTGAGAGTGAGATATTCCTTGAGGACCACTCCCCTCATAATGGTCTTGAGCTCTGGGATCCCAGACCCTGAAAGCAACAGCAGAGCAAGGGATGTACAAAACCCAGAGGCAAATTGAATATGAAAAAGAGACAGACAGAAACAGATCTTGCCATGCATTCTTCCCTCACCAACAGCCTGTGGAGAGACGAGATGGCAGAAAATGGCCGCAAACAGAATAAGAACAAGTGGGTACGTGACCCATGCCAAATACTGCATAGGAACATTCGGGTGCAGCTCTCTGTACATCCACTTGTAGGCTGTAGACAGACAAAAAAAGAAATTGTCAATAACCACAGCTGCTCCAAACAGGTTGGTAGACATCAAAGAATCACATACTTGCTAAACCTGCCCATACTACATCTCCCTGAGGAATGCTATCCTAAAGTCCTACTTTTCTAAGACAAGCCTTCTTCATTTCAAGTACAAGTTCCCAAATAAAACAAGCATTCTGCAGGAATGGATAGAAATGGCTCTCTGTTCTTAGACACTGTTAACCTGTGCCCAAATGTGGCATAAGAAGAGGTGTGTTACACGCAGTTGTGAGGATGAATCACTGTACAGGGTCTTTTCATTTGGCAGCCTGAGGGCCTTATGTGGGTCCTGAAGGACAAGAAAGTGGTCCACCAACAGCTAGTACCCTCTCTTCCATCTTAATCACATGAAAAATCATTCCTTCTAAAAAACTAGCTTCAAAGCTCTGCTTATGATTTGTCTTTTAGAGCAGCAGCATGAAGGGAGCTGTGCCAGCTGTTAAAACAGCGGTTGTACTGTTGCTCAGCCAGGTACAACAGCATGAGCTGCCAAGAATCCAAATCGAACTGCAGCTCCTGTGTAGTTAATTTTTGCCTGAACTGGCTCCTCACACAGCAGGAGGCTGAGACTTGGTGAAGGAAAAGAAAAGAAAAATAAACAAAAGCAAAACCCAAAAACCCACCACAAAGAATTCAGCTGCAGGAAATATGAAGGACAGGGGCTCTCTGAGGCTGGTAGCGTAAGCCAGACGCCTGGTAAACGAATAAGTTCTAGAGGGAGGAAAACACTGGGCTGAAGGGATATTGGTAGCTTTGAGGAACTGCAATGTCTGGTGGACATCAGCAGCTAAGAGTGCTGAGAGGAAAGGGTACAGGTCAGGATTGGGTCACTGAGGATAAGGACAAAGGAACAGTGCAGTTAACATTGCCCACATGTGGGCAATGTGTCTGTGTGCATGGAGATGGGGGACAGGGGGACTGAAAGATCTTGTAATTGTTGTAGCTGGCAAAGGGGAGAGGGACTACAGGAAAAATGCAGGGAAGGGATATAAGACTGATTAGGAGATCTTTGTGAAAAGAGTCGAAGGAGAGAGCACTACGTGACCAGGTAGCAGGAAACTGCAGGGTGCTGTATAAAAAAAAATTGGAAAGAACCACAATGAGGAAAATGCTGAAACAGTGTCAGGAGATCATCTAATACCCCTTCCCTTTCCCACCCTCCATATGCTAAGTAGACCTGGGGAGGATGGGAACCAGGATAATAGGAAGGACCACAGTACCACTTCCCTGTGCCCTATATATTCAAGGGAGCAGGAGGGAAAGGGAGTAAAATAATGGTTTGTGTTTGACCCATACACATATCCTTTGTTTCTGCCTGCCTACTTCCAAATTTTTCCCTGCCACCCCTTTAAAGAACCTCTCCCTAGTTAACCTATTCTCTACTATGTTGCAAGTAGTTAAAACTTTCCAAGCAGAGAGGGATGAGGATGGGACACTGATGTTAAAGGAGGAGGAACGCTGGTCACTGGGCTTTGTAAAACTCTCATATAATACAGCGTGGTTTTGCAACACCTGAACGGTACCCACCCTGTAGGCTCTTCGCACTGGCATAATCCATTCCCCAGCTCACCAACGCCATGACCAGACCCAACAGAACCAAGAAAATCCAGTCCTCTCCAAGCTTCTTGGTAAAGTATTTCTGGATGCGTCTAGCACAGTCTGTGGAGGGAAGAGTGAATCAGAAAAACTGAGGGAATATAAATGAAGCCTGTGTCTGTCTCTCCTCTCCTCTGCTGAGAACTGACTACAATAAAGATCTATTTGGAAGCATCATGGGCTTTGTGTTGAAGGACTAGTACACATGGCTCTCTTACACAGTACTGAAAAATCTTCTGCAGTTTAAAAAAAAAAGGGGGAGGCAGCAGCAGAATTTAACATCTTGTGCACTAGCAGCAAAAATCAGACACAAGAAAGTGTTTTTCTTCCTATTACAGAGATCTGTTGTGGCAAAAATTATTAACTTGGAACTGTCTTTTTTTCCAAACAGATTCTGGCTCTTCCTAGGATGAAAGCTCACATGAAAAAGTATTTTCAATCCACTGTGATTCCTTTTCTTTCCTTCCCTTCCCTGCTTCTCCCCAGTCACAACTTTCTTGTCTTCCTGCCTTGCTTAAATTCCACTCTCTGGCTGGCCTACCCAGTATCTGGTCATAGGGTAATGAAAGATGAATTGTTCCTACCTTGACACTTGGAATAGTGCTCTTCTTTTATCTCTGCTTGACTCTCACGTTTCAGGGGTCTTTCATTGTTCTTTTGGGCCTGCTTCTTATTCAGTAGTTTTGTTGCTTCCTTCTCTGCAAAGTTGGTTATCTGGTCTGTGTATTGGCCATAAAGCTAGAGGAGCAGAAGGCAAGAGAGATCAAAAGGAAGAGCTAAGGCAAATGTTCCTTCACAAATAGCATTAAAGATGAAAAGGCAGATCTACTAACAGTCAGATGTGCAGACCCAAATGTACCCAAGCAGGGAGACAGAGACACAGAAACTCTCAGACAGAAGCAGCTCATATTTTTCTTTTTCTTTTTCTTTTTCTTTTTCTTTTTCTTTTTCTTTTTCCTTTCTAGTTCCCTTTTCCCAAACTCTCCAACATATTTTCATCTTTTCATCTCCTCTTGGAGGGTCTGAGATATGATCACAGAATATTAATTGCTTTCTAACATTCTGAGAAAGAGCTGGGTGTGATCTGAACAAATTGAGCAGGCTTTCTGGAGGTACAAAAGAAGGTCGAAATAGTTCACAAGAGGCTGCCACCCTCACGACTGTCTCATACACTTTAGTAGCATTGTAAAACATCTCTGAAGGTTTTGAGAGGTCTTACGCTATCAAACAGGCTGCAGGAATTTCCTGCATCTGTTCCTCCTGCCAAGGAATGCTTAACAGGGCACACAGCCAAAGATGGTGCCTGCAGAGGAAAAGAAGCAGCCTCAGCTCAGAAATATCACAGGGTACTGCATCGTCATTTTAAGTCCTCATGTATCTACAGCCCCCCTGAATTTCCTAACTACCTAATCTAACCTTTGTCTTCAGATACCAACCTTGACATGCAATTGGTGATATGCAATTCACAAGTAGCTACATGTGCTTATCAATGACATTTCACACATGGATCTGTAGTAAATTTGGCAGTTGTGCCATCTTGTCAACAAAACCTCAGGGAGCTTGAAGGATCCTGACTGTGCTCATATGTTTGTTTGTCAGTTTCCCTCAAAAGCAGCTATCCTACCTCATTCTTTCAGAGTATAGTTGGGGAAGGTGTGCATTTGAGAAGCAGAGAATAAGCCTCTTCTTGTCACATGCCCTTCAATGAACCAGCTTTGACTTTACTTGAGGTCAGGTTACCACCTGATGCATGGCCTGTGATCTTGGCACTTCCCACCTGCGAGATGGTGACCCTTTGCTTCCTCCACAGGACAACATCTGCTTCCCTCAGATTTTCTGAGTGGCAAGAGGAGACTGAACAATGCTTTGATTAGCAAAATCAGACACTTCAGATGGAGAATGACAAGACATATGAGAGATATAAAGCACTACCACGTGCTTAGGAGACATTTCTATTTGAAAACTTTGCACATCTTCCTTTCAAATTGACATGGAAGATGTTACTCCTGTTCCCCTGGGATCTCCATGAACGGAAACATCATCTGTACAATGGGGATAATGCAGCTAACCTATCTGTAAGACAATTTGAGAACAAATACATTCAAAGATTCACAGAAAGAGTTACATGGGAAGGCACCTTTGGAAGCTTCTAGTCCAACCCTCTGCTCACAGTATGCAACCTTGTCCTGGGTTAAGCTGAGATATGTGGCTGCCAAGGTCTTTCAGCTTCTCTGGCTGTCTGCAAACAGGAGAAGCTGGGAGGGAGCACAGCCCCACTTACTAGCCCAGGATTTGATCTTAGGTTCAGGACTGAGACCCAAAGTGGCCAATAATCTATTCCATAACACATCGATCATGCCCAGTATATAGGTGAGGACCTCCGGTCCTCTCCCCTGTCCTCGGGTGGGAGGGGGGGGAGAGGTGTGATTGGGTGAGTGGGTGTGTGGTTTGGCCCCCAGCCAAGGGCAAACCCATCAGAAACCTCCAAAGCCAGATCAGGCTGTGCGAAACCTTGTCCAGGCAACCCTTAAACATACCCAAGGGTAGAAATTCCTCAGCTTCTGTGAGCACCTGTTTCAGTGCTCTATCAATTCATATTCTCACGTAACAAATATGACTGAAGGTCCTAAGTAGTTTATTTATTTGCATACATTCCTCAAGAGACACTTGAACCATGTGCAATAGCTTCCTTCAAAATACTTAGTTTTATTTTTCACAGAATACACATTTAGGCTTTTAAAAATCATCCTGTTCTTAAGGTGACTTATCTCCTGGCTCTTAGACAAATTGATCCTACCTGAACATCTGAAAGTATTCTTCCAATCACCGCTGTATTGGAAACTGACAAATTCAATGTAATTATTAACCCTATGATTATCAACACACTCTAGGCAAATTAAGCAACGCAGACTCTGCAGTGAGGGATGGCCATGCTCTGACCCCCATAATACAGACAAGAGAGTGAAACATCAGGCTCAAGGACTTGCCAGACTTCATATACAAGGTAAGCTGTCACATATAGAATCCAACCCTAAACAGCAGGCCACTCCTTTCTTCTCTCACTGTGTCTATTTCAGTCAGAAATACCAACTACTAGCAGATTTTAGACAAATGCATCTTCACATCACCTCAGCTAATGTTTAATTGCCTTTGGTCATGAGGGATGAGTTTATACCAAATACAGCTTAATCAAAACTATGAACTCAAACCTGTGATGAGTATGATGTTCAAATTAGAGTCTTCCATCTCTCCAGATGGAACCACATGACAGTATATGACACACTCACCCTGTTAGCGTGGCTGCTACAGCAAAACGATTGCCTTGTGTTAGTGTAAGTAATAGTATGAATTGTAAAAGTCCTCATACAGTATCCTAGTTCACTGATTCTGTCTGGCTGGAAAATGGGGCACTCAGGATGTGGGAAAAAAGGAGTTAAGTCTCTGGACACAAAAAATGAAGATTCCGTCCTGGATAACAAGTTAGTTTCAACTCAAAGAATGCTTCACACACATGCTTTGCTTCACCAGGACTCTGTCACTATTTAAAATGGTAGGAAACTGTGGGACAGAGAAAGAGTCCATAAATCAGAAGATGACCTTAAAGCAAAATTAGGTTCGGCAGGAAACGTCCATTCCATTAGAAAATACGTAAAAGTAAAAATATAACACAGTATGACATAGACTGTTCTTCCTCTAATGTTCCCTCTTTAATGCAAGGAACGCTGGGTTTCTGAGCATCAGAGAAACTGGAAAGAATTTTAAAAGATCAATTACCACCTAAGGGTTGAGCCAGAGAAGATACTATCACGCCTACCTTGGCTAAATGCTGATTGAGAACATCATAATGGCTCAAGAACAGCTGAAGGTATAAATACCACTAAAGGGAGCAGAAAAAAACACCAAAAAATCCAGTGAGAAAACACAACCAGGGTAAAGGTTCATTTTCAGGGAGAAAACATTTATTAATGTTTAACTATAAACCAGCAGGGTTTGTCTTTCCAAAAAAAAAATAAAAGAAAAAATTGGGAAGTTTCACTGCTTCAGTAATGGAGGAAAAATTGCATGGAATCTCAGGGGAAAAATGTGTACAGCAAGACAATCTCAAGACTTTTCTGGGACGTAATTTCTGAAAGCTCAGCACCTGCGTAAAATTGCCCTCCTCTCACAGTCCAAAGCCTAAGCAAAATAGCTTATGAAAATGGCATGGAAAATACCATGCCATTCAGACTGAACAATATGTTCTTCACAGCATACTCCAGTCCTGACATCCTTTTCCTCAGAACTGCCGATGCATACCGTTTTTAATCTGCTGCTCCTAGTCACTGAGGCAGCCTTGGGCTCCACTGCTCATCCCTCTCACTCCCACCTTGTAGCCATCCTGCTATTCCTGAAATGACCTTCCTTAGGTTTTTTTTTTTTTCTGAGGGATCACAAGAGTAGCCATATTTGGTCTCAAATGTGAAACCTCCCCAAATTCACTTCATAAATATATTTAAATGCCAGTAAAAGTCTAGGCTCTAGAAACCGAGCCAATGAAGCACATGTGAGGGGTGAGGGGCAGCAACAAAACAATAGTTCCTCCTGAAGAATCAAAGGGAAAGGGGAGATCTAACAGCAGCCCCACCACCTGAAGTGAGAGGGGGGGTTAGAGAGAAAGTCAGGGCGAGGCTTCTCAGAGTGGAACAGTGAAGGACAAAAGGAAAAACGTGTAACTCTCAAGAAAGGAAAGTCTGACTACATATAAGGAAAATATGTCCCCATCCACCCTCTCTTGAGGATGGTTCAGCACAGGAACAGGTGCCCAGAGGAGCTGGAGAATCTTCAGTCTTGGAGATGTCCAGAACTTGCTTGGACAAGGTCCTGGACAACCTGATCTAGCTTTGGAGCCAGCCCTGCTGTGAGCAGGAACTTGGGCTAGAGACCTCCAGAGCTCCCTTACCACCTTGATCTTGCTGTGTGTCTGTTATTCTATATTGCTGCATTGCCTAATTACTCATTACACATCCCTCCCACTACACCCATCTGTGTATTGCTCAGGGAGCTCTCTGCTGTGAACACCCCTTCTACTGTCACAAGTAACACAGCTTCTAAATACTTCACCAGCTGGAGCTGCTTTCTCCTGCAGAAAGAAAACAATACGAAATCCTACAGTGCATGAGAATGTATATTTTTATCAATGTAAATTACATAATCTATCATATATCTACTATCTGTTATTGTAATTGTCAAAATTATGTATATATTACCATTATTATCCTATTATTATTATCTATTAACCACTGTATGTTTTTCAGTTATAAATTATCTACCATTATTATCCTATTATTATTATCTATTAACCACTGTATGTTTTTCAATTATAAATTATCTAAAGGTCCCAGGCCAAAGACCAGGACTCTACTATTCTGGGCCTGTATAACCCGATCAAATCACAGAGCCAGTCTAAAATGGTTTCCAACCTAGATATAAAAGAGAAGGCAACAGCTCACAAAAGAAAATGACACAAAAGAATCGAAGTTGCCAACTGTTTTTTTCGCATGGCAGTTGGGAAATAAATCTTAATGGTTACTCTGCATGGAAATGGATGAAAACATGTGCAGCAGGTTGTTTTTCATGCTATGTAAGTTTCATGTTTGTACAAGACGTGTACATTAGCATGCATATTTTTCTGCATATCTGCGTGCGCATGAATGGCTAGCAAAATCTAGATACTCACAGCAAGCCTGGTTTTGCCAGAA